GCACCTAAAGAATATAATAAACAAATGACAGAACATCATCATAATATCAATAAAATCAAACAGCATATATTACCAACAAAAAGGCAACGATGGTATTGATAAGCTTAGTAATAAGTAGAAAATTGCGGGTTAAAACGGCCAGAAATTCAACACGGCCTCGTTTTATAAATATATATATATATATATATATATATATATATATATATATATATATATATATATATATATATATATATATTATATGATCATTACAGCTAATTATGTGAACATGTGCCTTGAGGAGGGAGGGCGGGGTATCCCACTGAGAAACGTGTCTGGAAAATCTCTCTCTCTCTCTCTTCTCTCTCTCTCTCTCTCTCTCTCTCTCTCTCTCTCTCTCTCTCTCTCTCTCTCTCTCTCTCGATTTTCACTGATTTTCAATATTCTACTTTTGAGGGACTTCCAGTATTTCAAGTTTTGATTGTGGTTGTTGATTAATAACGATCATAGCCCTATAGCTGAATTAAGAATATCCACCTATATATGTCTGTTCATCTGTCTATCAATTCTTATATCTATATCCATCTATCAATTCTTATATCTACCTATCCATCTGTCTATCAATTCTTATATCTATCTACCTATCCATCTATCAATTCTTATATCTACCTATCCATCTGTCTATCAATTCTTATATCTATCTACCTATCCTACTGTCTATTTATCTATCTGTCCCTCTATTTGTCTATTTACCTATCAATCGGTTTATGTCTTTTTTCTCTATATCTATCTATATATCTATCTACATAATTATCAATACATCATTTATCTGCCTATCCATCTATCTATCTACCTGCCTATCTGTTTATCCATCTACCCATCTATCTATCTACCTGCCTATCTGTTTATCCATCTACCCATCTATCTATCTACCTATTTATCTATATGTCAGCTAATTTCATTTCATTCACCTAAAACTATCTGAATAAAAAAAGTAATAATAAATGAGATATATTCAACGGCCCTTCCTTAACACCCATCTTGTTTATCTTGAAAATAGTGTTATAAAAGAAGTTGTCCACGAATTAAACAGGTTTTTCAAGATTATTATTTGGTTATAAAACCGGTTTGACATGCATGTGATTTCATTAATCAAACTTGTTTCATGGTAATAATTTGGTTATTAAACGGGATGTGCATAAAAATTATTTGATAATTGACCGGCTGGTGATTATCATTTTAAGACGGTTTGGTAATTAGCCTGGCGGAAATTAGGTCATTAAGACAGATTATGTTCACATACAGTCATTCGTAAATTCTCAGCCTAAAATATCAAATATTATATAGATTATCGATATGTAGTGGGACTATCCGCCCACTTTGTCCTACCACGGTACCCCCCCCCCTTTTGGTATGACAAGTCCATGGCACGAGTCGGATTCAATGAACCCATTGGAAAATGGGCACCGAGAACTACTGTCAGCATTGTTTTATTTTCCTTGTATATACCCCATTTTTATCATATGTATTTGTCTTCCGTGATGGAGATGCGGGGTGCCGCCCGTAAGCATGTGTGCAACGTACGTGGGCTTAGCCACGTACGTGCTAATAAAATTACCACTCCTATGCTCAGTTTAAGTCGAAAAATTGTATGGCGTCTGCTAGTGACGTCATACCAGTGGCTTGTCATGCCGTCATTAGTGACGTCATGAGCCGTGACTGCAGCCACTCACGAGTCTCCACGAGAAGGTAGACAATACCCCTGTAGAGGGCGCTGATACCCCCTGGTACTTTTGGGGTAGTACCATTACCGGGAGATCTGGTCTCGCCTCCTTCCTGTTCGGACCCCGCTGCTACACGTAAGGTCACGGCCATCATTATGTATTTTACAGGGAAATCACCAATGATTTATTTTATACCTTAGTGACTGGTGCAAGAAGGGTAAACTTGTAAGCTAGGGTCTAAGACGAAAATAAACAAACAAACAAGCAGCGTATCGTTCATGATTTCCCCCAGCTAATTAGTGATGACAAAGTTCAGCGTAAAGTATTGCTGGATATGAACTATTGATATTCTGAAATGTGCAAATATACATGAGAATTTATAGTTAATTTACATGGCATTAAATGAACTTGTTTCCTGACGTATGCGAGTGCCGTGACCTGGACTCCCCCGCTCATCCGCTTTGGCCGCTACCACTACATGTCCGATGTACGACGTGGGGGTGGCCAGGTGGTACTCGCATGTGGTGATTGAAGGTAAAAAGGAAGGTGAACAGATCTCCGAGGGACACTGGCCTAGAATTGTCCCGGTATTGTACAAGAAGTAGCAGTACTGCGTTACTGTTACCTTACAGGATTTTGGTGGCTAGCGGCGGTATGTGATAATTGGCTGTTTTCATATTGTTTCGTGTATTATACTAGTCACATACGTTCCCCATACGCCTAGAGTCGTAGTTTTTCAGAATTTTACGTTTCCTTTGTATTTTTACGTACTTTTAAGATCTCGAGTTTTAGGAAAGATCGTTTTTTTTTCAAACCTGTTTTACCTAAGTTTTACATGTAATTTTATTTTGATAATTTTATATAGTCGTTTGCTTTTACTTGTTATCATTTTAAACGAATTCTTTAGGCTGATGACTAGTATAATACCATCTTGATGCAATGATGTAATAGTGAACACGTGGTACATTATAACTTTGGTTAACCCTAGTATGTGAAAAGCTGACCTGCCATTGATATATATTTATTCATGTTCTTAAGTCATCCATTTTTATTTTTGTATGTATTGTGAGATCTCGGGATACTGCTCTCCCTTGTACCCGTAGCTTGTGATGTGCTGCTGTCTACTACGTAATACTGTGATACTGTGGTGTTGAAGATCAGCCCTGCCTTTCACCTGGTTCTTGCGTGAACTGTGGCCGAAGCGACAAGAGCGACAGTGTATATGGTAAAGTATGATTAGTGGGTGTTAGCGGCGTGAATACGTATTTGCTTTTTCTTGTAGTGAATGAAAGTATTATGGTGAATGATGCCCTGCCTCTGTGTAGCATATGGTGTTATGGTGTTGTAATGTGCATATTGTTGTGTTCAGTGGTGACACCGTCATAATCGGTGCTGTGTGTTAAAGTGCAGTGACAAGTGATGCGTAAAGTGATATGTATAGTGATGTACGAGTGTGAAGTGTAATTCGTTTCATATTCTCATGTATATTTATGTCGTATGTCTTCCACAGTACCGGGTGTTACGTTATTAGATGACTTGGTCTCTTGTGGCTGTGCTGACTTGTTGAGCGAAGATTCTCGGGGAACAGTAAGTACTTGTAACCGCGCTCAGAGAAGGTCTCTTGTTCGTATTTCTAAGAGGCTGATGGCTAGGACGAGGGCAGGCCAGAAAAGCGGTCAGAAGGGCAGTCGCGCCAATACTCCAGTTGAGCTCAGTGTCGCTATTATGCCGGTCCATGATGTGCAGGGAAGCCACGTGGCTCCCGATGGTGCGTCCATGCAGGAGGGTGATGACAGTGCCCCTCTCCAGGGTGCTGCCCCATTGGAATTAGGAGCCCTTCAGGCTCAATTAGAGGCTGCCTTACATAGGATAGATACCTTAGAAGGACAGAACAGGCACCTGCGAGAAGAGATGCGGCAATTACGGACTCCGCATGAGCCTCGCTCTGGAGCATCCACTCCCGAACTTTCTCGGGGGAGCGTCCCACCTCCACAGTTAGCTAGTGGGCCTTCGGGAAGGCCTGACGCCCGCGAGTCATGCCTCCCCAGGCCACAGCCTCAGGCACGTCATGCATGCTGTCATTCTGTAGGGCAATTACCCACGACCTCAGATTATAGCCACACACCTCATCCCATTTATTTGGGGCGTGAAGAGGTCC